ATGCATTTCTTTGTTTTTTGTTTTTTTTTTCTCTCTTCTTTTCTTTCTCCATTCTCTTCAAACAGACCTATGCATGTTATTTGATTCTGTACTTTTGGTTTAGTAAGATCTTGATTATCTACATACTTGACCAGTAATTTTTGTTTTCAATCAATGTACTCCTCAAGTAGGGGGCATGGATAGTATTGATCGACGAGAATTGGAAAACAGTTAAAATCTCGATCAGGACCGAATCAGAAACGGGCCATCGAGCCTATCAGAGTTAAAATATAAGGCAGGGCAAATAAGACGAGCCAAGCAACAAAACCTATAGGTATAAAATCGTTGGTCAAGGGCCAAAATGGGTTAGAAACCTTTGGAGGTTGGAGGCACGAGTGCCTAGTCAAAATTAGAGCCTAAGGCCAAAACCAATGGTGAATTAAAGCAAGTAGCAACACCAAAAAAAGACTTAATTAAAATTCCAGAATAAGAAGAGTCCAACAAAAACCAACAAGATGATAGAGGATGATACCCCAAACGTTGGAAAAGGGACAATACAAACAATTAAGTTCATTATTTTTCTACTCATCATCCATATCATCGGTAGCATCGTTACACTCGGTCCTAAAACGCTATTGAAGGAAGGAATAGTCCATCCCAGGGTACTCATTGGAAAGCTGGGGGAGAGACCACGAAACACCGCACTCCATGACAGCAATCTGCAGATTGACATACTCTATAGTCTTCTTAAACTCTCCCTCTAGGAACTCAGAATTAGAGAGTTGAGCCTTCACCTCGTCAAGTCTTATCTGCAGCTCGGCCAACTCGGCCCGAGACCTCCTCTTCTCAGCTTCAAGGTCATGTTGGGCGTTCTCCAAAAGACTATTGACTAGATCCAGGGAAGAAAGAGCTAGATCCAACTCGTCCAAGGGGCCATAGTTGCGGGGAAGATGATTTATCTCATCAGCGACCCTTCTAGAAAATACCACCAATCGGGTGAAAACCTAAAAAGAGAAACAAAGTTAAAATGTGTTTAACTACAAGAATGAGAAGGCAGCTACGATGCTGACCTGATGAAGGTCACCCAGACAGGTATCAATACTCTGCTGGGGGTCAGAGTACCTCAAACCCGACTCGACGAATGACTCGTTGAGACCTTGTCGGAGGCCAAATACTCTTTCCAGGTAGACTAGCTCGTCGGTATCGGTCGTGTAAGACCCGAAAAATGAAAAGGTGGAGGCATGGGAGGAAGACCCTAAGTAACAATGGGAGAAAGGGAAAGTAGATGTCCCTTGAAGACGGGCAGAATGGCGAGGAGCAGCTGGAGGTACCGAAGATCGGGTTTGGAATAGTCGGGATGGAGGATCATCCTCCATCAAATTAGTCACGTCGACGTCCGAAGCTCGGCTTGACCTAGCACCGGAGCTTCAAATATTGTGTTGTTGCTCCCTCTCGAATAAGGAAGTAGCACGTCTTGACATTTCTACGAAACAAGCGATGAGGTCAGGAGAATTGAATTGAAAATAAAGACTTGAATAAGTACTCGACGGTCACCTGGAGATTGAGGAAGAGGTGCCAAACCGAAATCCGAAATCCACCAAATTTTGCTCTGTTACTCAGGACCCCACCGATCCGATTCAGCTGAATAACTGTGTTATAAAAGTCCCAACACTACGGTCGTAAGCTCGTGGTGGCGAGGAGCTGGCAATAAAGAAAAAAATGTTAAAAATAAAAGCAACAAAAGTCCCAATAGAGCCACGGAAATTACTTACCTAACTCCCTGTACTCCGTGGGGACAGGAAAATGCAACCCATTGTCATCATGAGTGAACCAATCGCCCCCAACAAAAAACCACTAGTCCTTCCAATTCTTCATGGAGGAAGGGCCTATGATTAAGATTTGATTTCGAGAGCTCACATAGAAGTGAAGATTATCTTCAGGACTATGCTTTAGGTAGTAAAGAGACATAAAAGTAGAGGCAGTCAAAGACTGGTCACCACCCAGGTAAGACCATAAAATAAAGCAACTAATCAACGTAGACCACCCGTTAGGTACGATTTGAGAAGGGGCCAACTGATCAAAAGCTAAGAAGTTTTGAAGAAATAGGGAAAGAGGTAAGCGAACGTCAAACTTGAACATGGCTATGTAGAACACAACTTCTCCAGGTGAAGACCCATCGATACTCTCACCAGGACGTGAGAGTCGAAGTCTCTCTCTATAAGGGTAGAATTGTCCAGCCACGGAGGCCAGTACGATCCGAACTCCGAATATGGATTCGAATACAAATTGTCGTTCGAAGTGGTCCACTCAATGTTTAAACTACTGTCAGATGCCATAAGAACAAAATGAGAGTGGAAAAAAGAGAGATTACCTCGGAGCAGAAGAAATGATCAATATTGAAAGAAAGAGCGATAGCTTTTTATAGTCCAAAGCTGAGAAGCAAAGCTTGAACCGTTGGACTAAGACCACTGGGTCGAGGCCTGCTCGGTCACGGGTCTGACCGAGGCCTGCTCGGTCACAGGACAGCCCATTAAAGGCTTGGTCACACGTTTGATCATGTAAAAGATCATGCACTGGCTGATGGGGGCAGGCCAATCATGGAATTGACTATAGAACAACTTGGTCACGGGCCTGACAATGATAGTAACCACTCATATCATGAATGACCCATGACCACTTGCTGCAGTGTGGTGGCAAAATCAAGTTGATTTCTTACTTCTGACACATCCACTTTTGAAGGAATACTCCCAAGTTGATGAATCCAGTCGGTGGATAGATCATCATCTTGGGAGTAGGGGACAATTGTTATGGGCGAGATTCAATCAAGTGAGAGGAAGCGAGCCTACGCAAACCGATAAGGCCCCAAGTAAACCAAATGACCGAACAGAGGCAAAGTAGGGAGCAAGCCATGTGGGCCGAGCCTGCCGAGTCCCTCTTACCACCTCACTCGTTAATAGAGGTGGCCCGACTTGAGAACCCTTGTGATCCAACGACTTCATCGACGATGGGCTAGGTTAACCTAATTCAGGAACTCCGAGGGGAGTCAAATCCTATAAATGAAGCAACATGCAAACCCTAGAAGTATGCCTAATTGTGCTGTTCTAGTACTTGGTAAATTTGTCCCTCCGTTCCTAACTTAAGCATCGGAGTCGTGTGACAGAAGTTACACCGATTTAGGATTGCTCGGTTTTGCAGGTTCCGATTTCGTGATCATCGAGTTTGGTACTGATTAGGCATGAATTCGAGACGCGAATTCCAACATCAACAAGACCAATAAAAAAAAGTTGAAATTATATAGAATCTGAAAAGGTTTATTATTGACACTATTTTTGGATTCCTTCACATTTTTTCTAAGTAATAATTTCCTATTTGGTTTTTTTTTTCCAAATGGCTTTATTTGTCTTTATTACTTTTTAATGTACCCTTTTTTTTATGTATAATTTTTTTTATTAAGGTCTTCTCTCTCTTGGAAATTTTGTGGTATATTTGGTTATGGATAATTATAGGTATGGATTGTTTATTTATTTACTTACCTCATGGACTTTAATTTAGCTACCATTAAATTTGATTGATTAATAGAATATTTTTTATAATTCGGTGAGTGCATTTTTTCTTTAAATATTGAAAGGTGGTTAAGACAAATTCATTCATCTTTTTATACTTACTAGTTGATCCAATTTTGTCTTGCTTACTCCTTGATCTTTTGTCTTGGTTGGTAAAAAAACAAAAAAGATTATTTGTTCTATTTTGGTTTTGTTTCATGCTTAAAATATATTGAGAATGTACTTTGATCGAAGACGGTGAGCTTCATAAACGACTGTTGAACACACACTGAATTTGACACAAGGGGAGCTTGTGAATGTAGATCGTCAAAGGGATTGCGGCATTAAATTCAAGAAGAAAGTTCTTTTAAATTTATGCACAAGACAATATGTACTATGTACTAATCCCTTGATAATTTATTTTAAATCTTTGTAGTGTGGCCTCATGGAGTAGGCTGTGAAACCGAACCACATTTAAAATATCGTGTGTTATCTATCTTTCTAACTCTGTAAATCTTTAGTATTCTTACCAAATTAAAATAGAAAAGTGAACTTTATAATCATCGTTACCATTACAACCCGTCATTAAATAACTTCATAATTAAGTCCATTCATAATCAAATGAGTGAAAAATAAATATACAAATAAATAATAATAATTTTTTTATAAAAAATATAATAAAAATGGAACCTAGTATTTTGGATTTATTAAAAATGAGTCTTATGAAAATAGGTTAATAATAATAATAATAACAACAAATAATAATAATAATAATAATAATAATAATAATAATAATAATAATAATAATCAGCCACCAGCCATTAGGACCACGAGATGAGGAATAGAATAGGATAGGAAGAAGCAGGCAATATCCTTCGGCCATAAAAAGCAAAATACAATTATTATAAATAAAATTTAAAAGAGAAAAAGAAACAAATTTTTTTTTCTCTTAAACATTAATTAATTACGAAACCAAGAACGCACAAGCAAGAAATAAGGGGCACTAACGCACGCGTCCCACTACGCAACATTCTTAAGTCTTATCCTTACAATAATCATTATTTTTTCTTAAAATATCATTTCTCTCCCTACATTTTTTAATTAATACCACTTTAGTCCCTAATTTTTATAATGTAATTAAATTTATTAGAAGCTTTAGAGAAACTAAGTTTATCCTTCTAACAACGATCAACCATAAGTTAACTAACCAATTCAAATATAACTTAATTGATTAAAATACATATTTTTATTAAAAGATAATGAGTTTAAATTTCTAATTCTACATGTTCTACGAAAAGAATTTAAAAATTCTCCCTTCAAACAGACTATTAAAAGAGAAGGATTGAAATGCAAAAAAGTAGAAAGCGTGAGGACTAAAATGATATTTAAGCTAACTTAAAAAATGAATGAAAAAAAAAGAAAAAAGAAATTGGGCAAAGGCGAAGTGTGTGAATGTGAGTGGGACATGACAGCTTCCGAACTACATTCAAACAAATTCCCTTTCCAATTTTTAGTTCTCCGACAGACAAAATTGCTTCTTCCTTCTTCTTCTTCTTCTTCTTCTTCTTCTTCGAACTCCATAGCTGCTTCTGAAGTGGGTCTTCTATTCTTCCTTTTTGTGCTTCTTTTTCAGCAACCAATTTCAAATCAAACCCCTCTCTCTCTCTTCTTTCTCTCTCTTTTCTGAAAAAAAAAAGGTGAACCGCTGCAATAATTGTACCTCTGCCTCTGCCTCTGCCTCTGCTTTCCCCTTTCTTAAACCTCCTCATATTCCTTGCTTTCCTTCCAACACTTCCTTCTCAGTTCATAATTCAGGGAAGGGGAACAAATTTTTAATTTAAATTAAAAAAAAAAACAAAGGGATTGAGGAATCACTTTTTGCTGTCCTGTCTGCATGCTCGACGATTTTCCATGAGAATCATCAAGGCCTTCGCTTCTGTAATCTCTCTAATTTGCACTTACTTTTGTCTTTGTTTGTGTAACCCATGTGCCATATTTGTGTATGCACTGCTTTTCTTGGATGATTTCATGTGGGTCTTCGTTTTTTTATGTTCTGTGGTTACAGGTTCAGGATTATGAGCTTCCTTTTTTGACTTTGTAATTTGAAATTTCTGGATTGCAGTTATTGCAAGGAAACAGAGGGAAAATTTCTTTGATTCTGATAGTTCAGTTCAATAAGTTCTGTGTATCTGTCTTTTTCATGTTGTTCTAGTTGTTTTGTTGGTCATTTGAGAATTATTGGGGAGTGGCAATCGCAAAAGAAATAGCAAACTGAATTTTATAACTCACTGAAGATGTTTCAACTCAGGTTTAGAACTTACAAGCTTATAGTTTCTGTTGATCATTTGATTTTTTCTTTAAAGTTTATCGTTCTTTTATATCTGTGAAACGAAGCTTTCATCAAGACAAATTTATGAATCTTAGGAAGTTTGAGATTTTGAGAAATTAATTTCGGAAACGTCCCTAATGAAATGAGTAATTTGAGAATTGGGTATGATATTGTTGGTTAATTTTGGTTTTCCGAGGGAGAAATTACGGTTGGAATCTGGAAGGTGACAGTTGCAGTTTCTAATTGCCTTCAAAGTTGTTTCTGCAATGTTGGTTTGGAATTTTATGTACTATGGAAAATGCTCTTATGTTTTTTTTTTTTCTTTTGTTGAACAAAATTTGAATGTGACCTGTCTTTTTATACCTCATTTTCTGTGTTTCAGAATTGCATACTATCGGAGTCTAAGAGTAGATTGCATCTCTGTACTTTCTTCATCGCCATAATCCTCGGTGCAGGAGTTTATTTCATTGCAAGTGAATTTATTACGAAGGTAGAAAATTGGAGCATATCTTTTCAAAGTTCTTATAGCTTCCTGTTCATAGTGATGACAATAGCGGAATTCTGTGGAGGTCTTAGGTTAGATGGATTTGAAGAGTTTAGGTTGAGGTAATACTGCCCTTGACACCGAGATTAAGTTAATCACCTTTGTAAACAAAGGATTTAAAGAGTCAGTTTTCTGTACACTATCACAAATTTTTTATTCATGGCTTTACTGTTTACCGTGCATTCGCCGTGTTTGTTATCCATTGGTGGGATGTCCCTTCTATTTCTCGAATTTAGGCCCTAGATTACTCCATGGTTAAGTTCAGTTCAAATTAAGGCCAGTTTCATTTAAACTCCTTCCTTTGATGCTTATCTAGGCCAATGTTCATTGTATTATTATGCTTGGGAGTATTATTCTTATGTAGCTTGTAACCGTTCTCGTTCAATCATTTGTTGGTAAAATTGTCATTCAAAATGATGAAATGAGCCAATGATGGATATTTGAAAAACTTGCAGGAATTTTTGAGATGGGAGGTATTTTATACAGCACGTAATGTTAAATCCAGCACATGCAAGGTTTGTCTTGGTCGAACCGAGACCAACTGTTCTTTTTATGGTTTCTCATTGAATTTTTTTATAGTTTGATAAGTTTTCTCAATCTCCACTATCATCTCTCCCTCCTCGTCTTCCTTCTTTTGTAGGATCGATGCAGGCCTCCTGGGAGTGAGGCTTTGCCAGAAGGAATCGTTAGTAAAACATCTAACTTCGAGTTGCAGCCTCTATGGGGCGGCTCGACCATGCAAAATGTAAGTTGTGCTTAGATTGAAATGTTCAATGAAATGTAATTTTCTTGTACCGTTTCAATAGAGTTTTCAATTCATTTATATTCAGGAGGAGAATGGGAAATAAAAATTTCAATTTTCATGATTTTTTAGTATATGATTTGAGACAGGTACATCGTTCGAATCAAGTACATGCCTCGGTTAATTTAATGGAACAATCCAACTTGGTTAATAAACAGACGAAATCTCTGTAGAAGTAAAAACTACAAATATTTGATTGTTTGAGGAGAAAGATGATAGTCTGTTACGCTGCATCACCCTTATCTGAGTGTCAATGTTCTTTGTGCCAGAAAATTCCGAGGGCTTTGAAGAACTTGTTAGCTATTGCTGTTGGAATCAAACAAAAACATGTAGTGTCAAAAATTGTTGAGAAGGTAATGATTTGATGCCCTTATCCTTTCTAATAATTTGTTTTCTTGTTAACATGTATTTTTGCATTTGCAGTTCCCTCGAGATGATTTCGACGTGATGCTTTTTCATTATGATGGCATTGTGGATGAATGGAAGGATTTAGCTTGGAGTCCTCATCCAATTCACATTTCGGCATTGAACCAAACAAAATGGTAATGTTTATTTGTCCTTGAGAATTTTCAGAAATGAACGCGGATATTTGGTTCCAATTTTGCAATCATATATATTGACTTGAAGTTATTTGCTTTCCATTTTACTCATCAAAATTGGACATGTAACTGAAATAAAACAACTCATGGTGTAGGTGGTTTGCCAAGCGTTTCTTGCACCCGGATATAGTTGCTGAATATAATTATATATTTCTTTGGGATGAGGACCTGGGCGTCGAGAATTTTGACCCAAAACGGTACACATAATTTGCTTTTCATCATTGTTGAGTTCATCTTTGACCACATTCCATACAAGTCTAATCTATCTTTTTTTACATATGTTATAGTGCTTTATTTGTGTATGAACCTAAAGTTGAGCAATTTTATATAATGCTCGTTCAACCAGATGGTAGATTACAATAACAACATTTTGATGACATTGGTGCCTATGTTTGTTAGTTTCTCTTCCTTATTCCCACCAACATATCTTCTTTTCTTCATCTGAAACGGTGTCAGATATATATCAATCCTCAAGGAGGAGGGGCTTGAGATATCACAACCAGCTCTCGATCCGGTTAAGTCCAAGGTTCACCAGGCGCTTACTGCACGGAAAACCAGATCGAAAGTTCACAGGTCAGTTTTACATGGGTTTTGTGATGATATCTATTACCTTTGCCATTATATTACTATTGTTGGATCCAAATATCTATATTTTTGAGGTGTGTTCGTATTGTTTCAAGCTCCAATAAACTCTACTAAGATGTTGTCTAACACTCCAAATCGAATGACATAGTTTTACATTACTCTGCCACATCCTTTCCTAGTGATTTGCACTAAAAGTAGTAATTTTTCTTATTATTTTTCGAGCAGAAGGTTTTACAACTTCAAAGGCATGGGACGGTGCGATGCTAATAGCACGGCTCCTCCATGTGCAGGGTAAAAAGATTACCGATCCTTTCGAAGTGAAGGTTTTTCCAATTAGTTCTGAAATTTTATTTGATGTAGATGGGTGGAAATGATGGCTCCTGTGTTCTCAAGGGCAGCATGGAGATGCACATGGTATATGATTCAGGTAAACAACTATTAACCATTGGAAGGTGCCCAAATTGTTCCTAACAAATACATAAATATGTTTTGGTAACCATTTCTTTTTTCTTGTTCTCTAAAGTTTTAAAAGTTTTATATGAAAATTAATTTTTTAAATTAAATATTCAAAATTTTTATGTTATATTTAATCGTCTTTGATATAGATAAAATAATACTTTTATCTATACTTCGGGAAAAAATTTAAACATGAACAAGAACTTGATTTCGTTGTTTTTAAAATTTCTACACAATTTTAGAAACGTTTCTTAAAAATGAGAAACAAGAAACAAAATTTACCAACGTTTATGTTTCTGAAAAATTGGAAACGAAACACGAGAAAGAAGGAACGAAAACATTAACAAACTGGTTTTAAGAACCTAGGGATTTGTTTGGATGTCTTTTCTACATAACATTTCCAAAAACTATTTCGAAGACTAATTTTTGAGAGATACGGGGTCGGTCTTACGTCCAAGGTGCGGATTTAATTTCGAGGTTATTGCCTTACTGATTATTTATTTTTTGGTTTACAGAATGACTTGATCCATGCTTGGGGCTTAGATAGGCAGCTTGGCTATTGTGCACAAGTAATATTCCACACTACCATTTCTTTTGCTTTTTCTTGGAAGCCTCCATTTCTTGTAGAGTTGTGATTATGGATTCTCTCTCAGGGCGACAGAACACTAAAAGTCGGTGTCGTCGATGCAGAATACATAGTTCATTTAGGCCTACCTACGCTCGGCACTTCTCACGGCAATGTGGTAAGTCCCTCTATTCACTCTATGAGTTTACGACTCCCAACCAGTCATATGTCATGCTTATTCGGCTGCAACCTCCGATTTTCATTGTGAATTTGTACTGTTAGGGCACACTGTAATATAATTCTAGTTCAAATTATCGGATATATGTTCCGACACTAAACCGACCTTCCCATACCCATTCATGCAGCTGAATTCCAATGCTCCAGCTCTTTCCCAGAAGGACTCGTCAAACTTCGATGCATCGGTTTGTTTGCCAATAACTCTCAATTTACCCAAAGTTTATATTCTTTTTTCTTCAATTGTGACTGTGAGAGCTTGCTAAGTCTTCAGTTCTTGCAGGAACCCAAAGTTGATAATAGAGTTCAAGTAAGTTGCCTTCGATTCATTCCGAGTATTTCTTTTTTCCCGCTTCGACGTTCGAATTGGTATCGGAGATTTCAAAATAGACACTTCATGGTTTGTATTGTACACAAAATGTGCAGGTGAGGATACAGTCTTCCATAGAAATGCAGATCTTCAAGGAACGATGGACCGATGCTGCAAAGAAGGATAGATGTTGGATCGACCCGTATCGATAGTTCCCGATTCGAGCAATGCGGTTATTTTGAAGGGAAGGTGTTCCATTCTCCACACAGATTTTGAAGGGAAGGTGTTCCATTCTCCACACAGATTCTGGTTGTCTCAGAACAAATTATACCCAACAAAATTCAAATCACTGAGGAGCCTTTTCATTGGAAACAATCTCACTTTATTTTTTCCTTTGTATACAAAATAAAAGTTTTTTTTTTCTCTTTCTTTATGGGGTTTGTAAATGCATTATAGTTTTCCTGGAAAATTTAGGACTTTCCTTTAGAAAATATGAGCCGTTGGAAAGGTTTCATTGTAATATGAATAATGTAAAGTTGTTTTGTGAAATTGTTTTAGCTTCTGCCATTTGTTACCAGAACAGAACTCAGATTGGTATAGAAAATTGACAGAGTAAGTATACTTCTTAAAAATAGGGTTAGATTACGAGTTTGAACCTTCATGTTTGTATCTAATACGTTCTTTAACTCTATAAAATCTCAAATAGATTCTTAAAAGTTCGATAACAAAATATATTGTTTAATAACTATTTTTTATTTTTGAAAAACATAAAACTACACCTGATAATCAATTTTAGTTTAATCAATTTTAGTTTTATATTTTTTAAAAATTAGAAAATTGAAAATATATGTTAGAGAGAGAAAATTTTATGTAAAGTAGGGTGGGGCAAGAATAAGGATGTCATCTCTCATTGTCATGTTCGTGAAAATTTTTAATCTTTCATTTCCACCCCGTTTTTCGAATCCAAGAATCGAGATTCAGGTTAAAAATCTTTATTTGAGAGTGGGGATATTTGCAAGAAAGTTTAATAAATATATATTATTTATTTCTACGATTATTATTTACGGATATAAGTAATTAGTTTTAAAAAAATATTTAATATTGTATTAACAGTCTAATAAAATGTTAATAAAACATATATTAATTATTTAAAAAATGAAATCGGGGATGGAGTCCAGACATGTGTTTCATAGTTTTGGAGCGAGGATCTAACCCTACAAGAATTTGTGTCATCCCTAATGTAGAGACGTGAATTAGAGAGATGAAAATAAATTTTTTAAAGATAAATATTAGAGAGGTAAAGGAAAGGATTTAGGGAAAAATAATTAGAGAAAAATAATTACTGAAAGAAAAGTTAAATACAACCCGAGAAAAAAATTAGAGAAAAAGAGTAAAGTTAGAAATAAAAGATACGTTAAAGAAATTAAAAAAAATAAATTATAAAGAGAAATAAAAATTATAGTGAAAAAATATAAAGATAAAAATAAGAAAATATATTTTTTAGAAAAATAAAAAAAAATAAAAATTTGAAAAAATTGAAAGTGTAAATAAGATATAATCTTCACAAGAAAAATCGATTAATAATAGAAAGAAAATTTATAAAGGTCAAAATTTTAGAAAGAAATTAAAGTGATGTGTTAGAACAACCATAAAACATACATGAAAAATTTAGAAAAAATAATAATAAATATTCAAAATATGAAAATTTTAGAAAGATAAAATAAATTTTCTAGAGCGATAAATTTAGGAAAAAAGAAAAAACAACTAAGTGGAAGAGAAATTTGTTAAACAGAAATATGTAAATAGAAAAGAAAAGAATTTTGACTGGTAGAAAAAAAAATAGAGATTTTGAAAACCAGAAACTTATTTATAAAAAACATGTTTTTTTAATTTACATAAAATTTCAAAATCATTTTTACAAGAAAAAAGAACCAAAAAAATGAATTTGTTAACAAATAATTATATTTTTCAAAAATTAAAAACTAAAAAGAAAAAAACCAAATAGTTAGACAAAAAAAATTAAACCTATTTTGACAAGTTTTTGAATTTTTTATTTTGTGTGCAAAAGGTGATCGACTTTATTTACATTTTTTTTTTAATTCAAAGACATTAAATATAAATGGAAAAATTAGACACAAAATAATTTTGTGTTTAAATCTGTTCTTTTAAAAAAAATGTTAAAGTATAGATATATTAAACTTTATTAAATATATAGATAAAACTATTTACTCATTACCGTTCAGTCGTTGTAGTATAGTGGTGAGTATTCCCGCCTGTCACGCGGGTGACCCGGGTTCGATCCCCGGCAACGGCGTTTCGTTTTTTATCATTTTTTTTACAGGAACCGTACAAATTGAAGTCCGATCTAAGCCGAAGGAAGGGTCAGGAGTGATTTTTATTTATGAAATTTTTTTAATTTTTCTTTTATAAAAATGCTATTTTGTTTGTTTTTTTTAATTGTTATTTTATTTGAGGAAAAATGCTGCTCTTTTTTTTTTTTTATTATTATTGTTCTTTTATTTTAAGAAAAATGCTGGAGGGGAACAGTCGAACTAAATAATGAGTTTTTCTTAGGGAATAACTGTTCTTTATTTAAGAACAAATATTGCCTATGTTATCAATCTTCTAGTTTCTTTTTTAAATTTGATATTTTTCCGGTTTCTTGGTGTTAAATATTGTTTGGGGAAGGGAATACCCTGGACACGTGGAGGACCTCTATTGGTGCTCCAAGATGGCTCATGAGTCATGCCCAGCTCGGACCGCCGAGATGGCCGCCACTAACGTCGACAAATGCTAAGTATGAGGGCCGAGGTGAACCTGGCCCAGGTCTGACCTACCGGGGACATCGGTGGGGGCCGATGTGAGCAACTGTCAGCGGCGTGATTATCGGGCGTAACCGTCGGTCCCGAGATTACCGGGTGTAACCGACGGTCCCGAGATTACCGAATATAACCGTCGCGAGATTAGTGGGACTACCGCCCATAAGTAGAGGACCTCACTCCACGATCAGGTATGATGATTTCTGGCCTCGAACTAAACTGGGAATCCGACCTATACTGACTTGATCGTCGGAGTGCTCATCTTTTTGTGCAGGTCCGCCCAAGCGTTCAGGTCGGTCCGGAGGCCGAGTTCGAGCTGCAATCTGGAACACACTGTTGTGCATATCCTTGCATAAACATTTGACAAGAAATGTATAACGAAATGATGCTAGTTGCAAGCGCAGGGTCCCGATCTGAAAATCGAGTGGTGCGCGTGGACGTACGCGAGCAAAGGGGTTCCCACCTCGGCCCAGCCGAGGAGGAACGTCCCGAAGACAACGAGAGCGAGGGGTACACTCGCCAGAGGGGAGACCTCCGTGAGCATCTCAAC